GAAATTAGTCAGATTTTGGGTATTTTATTTTTCAAAATATTGTGAAATGTTTAGGGCTATCTATTTCTTGGAAAAGGTTTACTCTTGTGAATTTTCATTCTTTACTTATAAAAATACCGCTATTCTTGCCGGATAGAAAGCTAAAATTTTATCACTTAATGGAAGGGTCCAATCTTGTTTTAAATTTATTAAGAAAGTTTGATCAATTTTTTTCTTTTATGGAAAATCTTTTGTTATGAAAACTCATATGATAGCTTGAAAAGATATATGTAAGTCTAAAAAGGCCCGTATTCATGATCTTAATGCCCTTTATTTTACTTTCGACTGCTCTCTTATTTGGCGTATCATTAGTTGTATTGGCCTTTTAGCTTCTTGGGTTAAGTATAAATGCATCTCTTATTGAAAACCTTATTCTCAAAAGGATTCTAAGTTTTGGAAGGATATTTGTAACATTGCTAGAGATATTAAAGTTATGATTTCTTTTAATATTTTCACTAATTATCCTTTATCTATGTATTGGGATCATTGGTTAGGAGGAAGAGTTCTTCATGAGTTGATGAATAATATTCCTGACAATTTGATCAACATGAGTAGTGTGGGTGAGTGTATTATAAATGATAGCTGGATGATTCATGATAGTATTGCTATGACGGCTGCTGCAATTTCTATTAAGAGTCAGGAAATCTCTAATATTTATTGAGTTGGTGTGAAGTATCCTTTTAAGATTTTCCATATTACTTTCCATAATAAATTTAGCATAAAAGGTATGTGATTAGATTTTCTTGCTTTGCTTGGATAGTTATTTTAGAAGGGATGAAAATTGTTAATTTATTAGCTAAAAGGAATTTGAATGTTTCTTTAACTTATACCCTTTGTTCTAAAGCCGAAGAAAGTCATAATCATCTATTTTTTGAATGTGTTTTTTCTTTCGGTATTATTTTTAAATTTGCGCCTGGGTTGAGTTATTTTAAAATTTGGTCTAATTTAGTTCAAATCCTTGACTTTATTTGGGCCTCTGATTGAGTTTCGGATGCTAAAAATATGTTATTACTTTCTTCTTATTACTCCATCTATTTCATTTGGAAAGAAAGAAAGTGTAAAAAATTTGGTAATAAATTTTGTAGTTATATCTCTATATGCAAGAACATCATGTTTGCTTTTAGGGCTAAGATTTCTAATTGGGTTTCTTTTCAAAAATTCAAGCATTTAGTCTTTTAAGTTGAGGGAGTCCTTTTGGTTTTGTTGCTTGGCTAAAAATTTCGGCATCCAGGCTTTTTGCGTGGATGATTAGGGAATTCGAGGAGTGCTGGATCCACTTCATAAGAGTGTTTGATCAATCTTTATTGAATCAATTATGTAAGTTTAAGGAGGAGTGTAGAGGAGATCATTGAACTCATCCGGTGATATTTTCTTATGTACTTTTTTTTATTTTTTGTAATTAATTAAAATGAGTTAGCTTCACTTGTTCTCCATGTCTGACTAAATTCTCTAGTTTTTGGATTAATTATGTAAATGGAATGTGGATAACTAATAAATTCTTCATTAATAATTTACTGATATTTTCAAAATATTAGGTCTTCATTTAATGCATATAATGGTCATATGTGCAATTAATATTCAATATAATGTGGAGCCTATAAATAGAAAAGTAGTCACAAACAGGTATATTAGATTGATATGATATAAGCATAGAAATAGTGATTGACATATACCAAATTGAGGGGGTTTTAACAGTACATGCTTTACTTATTCTTCTAAGAGTTTTATAAGGTAATAGACTATGAGAGTAGAGTGTTATTGAGATTGTCTGTTTATGCTCGTTTGAGCAGTTGATGATGCATATGCTCTGAATAACATCAATATAAATTAGAATTATTAGGAAATATATTTTATTTATATTTCATCAATCCAAACATTTTATCCAAATAGTGTTTCACTTAATTTTTTTATTTTAAATTAAGTGATTGAATCTCCACCAAAACTTATTTTTATTGAGTAGGATAATTGTACTAGACAATATTAATATTTACAAGTAAATATTCTTACTCATGAAATCGACACTCTACTATATCATTATATTACTTGATTTGACACGCATACTTGTGTATATCAAGTGAGATTTTTATAATTTTTATATTAATGAAAATATAACATTATTTAGGGATTGATATAGGTTACTTCTTTAGGATACTTCTCCGACCCCATCCGTTGATATATTTTCTTCTATACTTTCTTTCTTTTGTGCAATTAATGAAAATGAATTTGCTTCACTTGTTCTTCATGTTTAGCTAAATATTATAATTTTAAATTGATGGTATAAATTAATAGAATGTGGAGTACTAATAAAATTTCTTCATCAATATTTTAATGATATTTTTAATATATCATGTTTTTATTTAATGCACATAGTGGTCATATATATAATTAATATCATGTGTAATGTGGAGTCTAGGAATAAGAAAGCAATAACAACTAAGTATATTGGATTAAGATGATACAAGTATAGGCATAATGCTTGGCATATACTAAATTTATAAAGATGAAGTTTTAACAGGACATGCTTTACTTATTCTTTTAAGATTTTTATAGTGTGACATACTATTAGAGTTTAGAGTGGCATTGAGGTTGAAATATTTAATCTGTCATTTATCTCTTTACACCCGACTGAGCGACCGGTGATATATATGCTCTGAAAAGCATCAATATAAAGGAGAATCAATAGAAAATATATTGTATTTCATTCCATCAATCCAAAAAATTTTGTCTAAATAATGTTTCATTTAAATTTTTTAATTTTAAATTATATGATGGAAAATTTATCAAAACTTATTTTTATTGAGTAGGATAATTGTTGAAATTTTAATAGACAATACTAGTTTTTGCAAGTAAATATTCTTTCTCGTGAAATTAATATTCTACTATATCACTATATTCTATTATATTTTTATTAATTTTTATATCAAAGAAAATCTAAGCATT